GAGATTTATTGTTGCATATTTGCAAAAATAAATAATTCCACTGAACCAGCGCTATTCTTTGATCTTACAACCCTGGCTCGTCCCACATAGAATGCTGGCGGTTGGTTAAATTCTCTTGTCAATTCTGCTGATTTTCCTGGCGCTGTCGCACCTTCCTCTTGCTTTTGGTAGCTGAGAAGACCGTTTAAGCAAGTCAGGTTTCACGGTATTTGAGCACCTGCGGTGCATGGGCTCAAAACAGGATCACTGCGTTTAATCGAGCAAAGGCATGTTAACTTTATCTATTCCTTGAGTTATATATAACAAAAATAAAATATGGTGTTCTTATTCTGTCACCGAACTGCTAGTTTTAAACACCGCCGGTGCGAATAATGTTCTCCTATCAATTCTCTAGCTTTGCACCAGTGTAGTCCCACCGTCCTCTTGCTGCTAGTTGCCGCGGGATCGTTTACCATGGAACTGTGGCCTGCATAAGCGGATCCTTGGACTATTAGGAGCCTGCTAACGGTGCAGATGACATTAAGCATAATGAAAGACCATATTATCGGATATATTGCTGCGCCGATGACGTGATCGTTGCCAGAAAGAGAGAGAGAGGGAAGGAGAGAGAGAGCATAGTCCTGTGGTATCTTCGTTAATCTGTTTTTCTAGAAATCAACCGATATCGCAAAATGTGGTGAGAAGATTCATGGACGAGGTCATCGCGTTCAAACATCCGACGTTTGGGTATGGGCCAACAACGACTACTGCCGAGACTACTCGCGTCGTCGCAAAGTAACATTAAACAACTAAACTATTCGAAGTCAAATGTCGCTCACAGATCCGTCGATCCTTCCAAACTGTACGTGCACATGACTGACTTGAACTCAGCGCTGTCGTACATAATCCGGCACGAGATTCCGACCCAGAATTTGACAGGCGTAAAGTTGGAAGCGTTAAGAAACTTTCTTTTTTTATTGTACCAGGTTTGTCGCCGTGTGCCTTCCTGGCGCGCCTTCTCTTCCACGCTTATCATTGATCATTGATATTTGTAGTTCTATCCAGGCACCGACAAGATGCGTAATTTTTTGATGAACCTGGACAGCTTCGCGCGCAGTTTGAATTCGATAAGTTCTCAGGAATGGATGTACGAGGTCAACAAACTGCAGGTATACGATTAACGTTGCACAGTTGAAAGTTGCTGAAATTATCTCATAGCTCGTCATAGCCCAGTCATGTTTTGCAAGCATACCGATCGATCAGTTCCTGTTCAGTAACGTCTGATTAACTCGGTAATCCTTTAAATTGTCCTGAGGCTCTTAGTACATACTTCCTAATAGACGACGGGCTTAAATGTTATTTTCCTGGGTGTTTTTAAATTTTGCGATGTTTCCCATTTTGCTTTCGATACAAATCGATATGCTCAGTTCTCTTCAAACCTTCTCTTTACCAGAACCAGTCTTTACACTTTACTCATAGGCAGGTTTTTGGTGCCATATTTTTTATGAAATTAACTGTAGGGCGCTGATCTCCATTTCCATACCATCAGTTGGGAGTGCCCTTTTAAAACAGTGACAACAGCACCCATGTAGTGAGCATAATGCGCAGTTTCCTGTTTCCTTCCCATTAAGTAGTACTCACTTATCAACCTCAGTAGGAGAAAACCGATATTCCGGGCCTCGAACTCGGGACTTCTCGATTCTAAAGCAGTGTTATCAGCTTAATTGAAGGATTCAACTGCTTATTCATTCACTGACTATTATTGTCGAACAGCTATCGCTACATGAAGGTGTTACAGCTGTTATATTTTCGCAATGCCCAATACGGGCGGAACATAAGACGATCTTCCTTGACACTCGACGAAATGGAATAGACAGTAACGGTCAAGAAATGACATCCAAAAAAGTGGACAGAAATGATTAGCCTTTCCCAAATTCTATATCAGAAGTGGCGCAAGATCGACTGTAACGATGACAAATATATCAGTGAACGACGAACACCATTCTTATCGTTATCATCTGATTTGCCTGACGAATTTCATTTTCACCATTTGCTGAAATCATCTGAACAGTCTGCATATTCAGAATTTCACGTCGGTTTGGCCCACGAGTTCTCAGTCATTCATTTTTATGTGCGCATTCCATGCACCTCTTAATCACATGATTTGTTGCTACACCTGTAGGCACATGGTGTTCGTTTCGACTGTTGCAGTAGTAAAATTGATTGATTAGTCGGTCAAAGGTTAAAGGCCTAAGGACAAAATTTTATCGTGCTTTCTTTCAGGGTCAGTATTGACGGTGGCTCCTAGTCTTTCCGCTTGGACAGGTGACTGAAACGCCCTCTTTCCCATCAGAAATGTCTTGGCATTAGGATTTCTGCCACCCTCCAGTGACCGTTGCCTCGTTAACCGGCATTTCGCGTTTCATGGCAAGTCATCAAGACTGCCATCGCGGCATAATAGCGCTAACGCGCATGCCTTCCACCATATTTCGATTAATCGCTCAGTCACGTACCTTCGTCTGTTCATTCTTTATGACGGCGATACTGGGATCGATTTTTCAAAAGCACGACCAGTAATAATGGCATAAGGCCTTTACAGAAAACGACATTTTGCAAACTGGAATAATTAGCACATTGCAGCTAATGTGAACTTTCCGACAAAATCTCTTTATCAGTTTTATCCAGAAAACTTTTTCTGTCACTGTCCAGTGCCTGTTAGTCAGTGTCGATGTCCGTTTAGCCT